CTCTAAATTGATTAATTATGAAAATTTAAAAAGCACACTCATTTTTATAAATAAATAAATAAAAAATAGAAAATATTTTACAATAGACAATCTGATTAACAAAACCATAATAAGAATTTCACATTAAATCACTTAACATTCTTTTACAAAATATTAAAGGCTAATAATATTAAATATAATATAATAAAATTGTTAATTAATATTTATAATACAATTAATAGTGTTAAGAATATTTTTTTGTTTTTAAATATCAAAATTAATATTGATTTATTGACACAAAATATTAATATTATATATACAGGATTGTTATATAATGGTTTATCATACAAATATAATGAAATCGGGAAAGTTATTCAAATAATATGAAGATTACAGTAAAACCTCTATAAATCAAACACTTAAAATCTCATAATTTTAGTCCGTATAATACTAAATGTAGAAAAAAAAAACAATAAAATTAAAGCCTAATATAATTTGTTTAAATAAATTATAAACATAATTTAATTCTAAAAAGAGATATTTGTTATATAATATAGCAAGCATTATTTGTATAGAGATTGCACTGTTATCTTGTTTAAGATATTATTAAATTAATTTAATTTTAAATGTCATGTTTCTAATTTTACATAATTTATAATATATTCGTCCTATACATACTTACATTTAATATAACAGTTTATTAATATTTTTAATAATAAATTAAAGCATTTCCGATATAACATTGGTTATAACATTAATATCGTAATTTGTACTGAAATATTTAAAAAAAAAAACTTTTATATTTAATATTTTGTTGTCGTAAATATTTAGAAAAAAAAAATTAAGAATCTCTTTCAAGAAAATGCACAATATAAAAAAAACATGTAATAATTGAATAAATATACATATATAGCAATATTATACTATATACCATATTATATATTATACTCTAATATATATTTACATACAATTCCACACAAAATACTCGTATATATATATATGTATATATTTATTATATATACATTATAATATGAGTATTTAACCAAGGAAAAAAAACTGAAATTTATATACAAAAAAAACTTACCCATATGTACATTAAAAACTATAAAAATTTTGTCGCCGCAATATAATTATTAAAATAAATTTTTTAATATAAAAAATATATAAAAAAAAAAAAATTTCAAAATTAAAATAATTTTCGACGATCTTTTTGAATTTTTTTTTTCTCATTTAAATTTTTTAATAAAAATTTTATTATTCAATCAATAGAAAAAATTCTTGAAATTATTACAAGCTAATTGATAGCTTTTCCTAAAATCTTTTTGATTAAATATATTTTAATTATACGTACTAAACAAAAATTCTACAAAATTATTTTATTTCGCGTTATATTTTTTTTTTGATATTTTTGTTTACAATTCAGTTAAAGGGCCTGTTTCTTAATTATTTTTTTTATTATATTATTTTTGAATTAATTGAAAAATAATGATTTTATTTTATTCAAATTTTTTGATACTAATCATTTATAATATATACTTTATATATATATTTGGTATATATATATATATATATTCAAAATTAAATCAATACTATATATATATACTCCAAAAAAAAAAAAAATAAATTAAAAAAAAAAAAACAAATATTTTTTTTTTATCCTTTGGATTTGTTGTAAATATTATGATATATAATATGTTATATAAATATTGCAATTCACAGACTCCACGTGTATACTTGACTACAGAAAGACCAGGTCTTCATCAATCCCGTAATCATGAATATTCATATTCATCAACAGTTGAATCTCGTTCAAATTCAAATGATCCATTAAGTAATCGTACTCAACGTTCAACTTATACAAGTGAAAGAAATGCTAGTTCTGGTCCCGGTGGTTATTATTCCACCGAACGTACATCAACAACTGGTGCTGGTCCCGGTGGTTATAGTTATTCATCAACATCATCTGGCAGACTGCCCGGTGGTACTTCATACAGACATTATTCATATCGTGTCTAAACACAAAAAGCAAAAACAAAAAAAAAAAATTAAATTCAATTAAACAATATTGAATAATATAATATCTTTATGAAAACATATACAATTATAATTTTATATTAATAATATACACAGAGAAAAAAACAATTTAATAAAATAATGCGAAAAGCAAAAAATGTAATGAAGTAAACAAAAAAACAAAAATAATAAAAAAAAAAATTGTAGTATTCTAACTAATCTCATAGTAACATTAATTTATTATTTAATTATATACACACATTATATATTTATTATTTTACTTATATATATATATACATTCATATTATTAGTTTATGGAAAGCAGGATATAAAAATGTGCATTTCAAAGAGGTTCAATGAATTGCATTAAGCAAACAAGAAAAGGAAAAATTAAAAAATAAAATGAAAATTGTTTTTGAGGAAAAGTTTTGATTATTGTTTGGATTGCTTTTAAAATCTTGTTTTTTTACTTAATTTTTTTTTTTTTTTTGTATAAACTATACTAAAAAAATTTTAATAATTAAATTTATCAAGTTTTTAAAATTGAAACAAAAAAAAATTTTGTGTGTTTTTTTCTTTATTTTTCTCACTTCTTTTTATTTCTACAGCATATACATACAAATATTTTATGTATAGTTTAGATTTATGACAAAAAAAAAATAAATATTTTGCAACTTTATTATATAAGAACCTACTCGGTTTACAATTCAATTATAAAGGCATAACTATACATTAAGCCTTTATGATTGAAGAGCCTTATTTATACTTTTATAGACTGAATTGAATTGAAAATTAAATTAATGGAAAAATTAATTTTTCATATATATATACATCATATATAATTTATAATTAATCATTAATTATGATTGATAGTTCCGAGACATTATTTTACTTTTTCTAAGAGCTATGTTTAAATAATTGAATATAAAGTAAAAAACGCAAGGATTAAATAAATAAAAATGCACTTATTCATTTTTTTAAGAAAATTTTTATTGAATTTTAAAATAATCAGGTTGAATTAATATTTAATTAAAAAAAAAAACATATATAAATTATAAAAAAAAATAAAGACGCAATACAAATTTGGTTTAGAAATTTTATACATGAATTTTCGAAAACCACTAAACAAGAGAGCAGTAGATTTTTCTCAAAACTTATATAATATATTTTTGTAAATTTTTAGATAAACAAACAATGGCCATTATAAATTTAAATAATTTATGAAAAAATGAGAAAAAATAGAGTTTATCGTGTCAACTCTGTGATACGGCTGTACAAATTTGTTATCCTATGTGAGAATAATTTCAGTACTGTGTTTTCTATATTTCTTAAGATATGGCAAAACTATTAATGAAGTTGTATGGCAACTACCAGAAAGAGCCAATTAATTTCAACGACTTTTATCAAACACATTGGCTCTATTAATATATTCGCTTGTGTGAAATTTCTATATTACAGCTTTCATAGTTTCTAAGATATAGTCAAATAAGTTGTATGGCAGCTACTCGAAACAGTACTCCGTGCATATCCAATTTAAATACCGTTCTGTCATTTATTATAATAAATAATATGTGAAAATTTGGTGAATTTGGGTCAATTAGTTTTTGAGTTATTATTGGGACGGACGGACGGACAGACAAAGCTAAATCGACACACGACACTGATTAAAAACATACACTTGAGTCTATATCTCAGACCATTATTTCTTAACGTTATAAATAATAAGGCAAATTTAGTATACCCTTCGAACATACGTTCGTACGGGTATAATTATCAAAATTTTCAATTAATACAGTAACTTCAGAATTGCAATAATATTGCATTGCAATACATTTCATCAATTACAATTGATAAGCTGAATTTTGTATTAATTCTGTATTAGTGCAATTTCGAAGTCAAGAATACTTGAAAAAGTTTCTTACTTAAAAAAAAAAAACTCTTACATACATACATGGCAATTGTGACAAAAGTGAAATGCGTTCATATATAATACCGTGGAATATTTAAAATTAAATCTATTACAAAGACTGATGACTGTCTGATAACTGTCTGGTGGCATATCACATTGAAATTATCTCATTGAGCTCAGGTTTAACGTTAAAATTTAATAATTATAGTTTCAAAAATTATAACCAACATAATAAGTTCATCTCTGTTCAAAACTCGGATAAAAAATTAAGTTTCGCCATTTTACTTTTAAAAAAAATCGATAGTAAATCAGAGGAGGATAGAGTGATTTCTGTTATTTGTTTTAAGACAAAATCTAATATTAAACTGTGTTGTATATGTAGTACAACTTATATCAAATTTAGCTTAAATCCTAGTCTTCGTACTATATTATAAACAGTAATTTAGATATTTTCATATATGTAAACAGTACCTAATATGTACGAGTATATTCACCTCTAAGTTTTTTACACTTCCTTGAATCTGGATTAAACGGTTGTAAATTCTTTAAAAGCACAAATTTTTAATTACAATCTATAATATGATCAGGAAAATTTTTATGTAATTGTATTTATTTGTTTTAGTATGCTAGAACTTGAGACATTATTAGTGAGTTTTTATAATTACAATTGACACATTATTTTTTCGAAATCATACAGATTAGTAATTGTATGATGAACAATCATACAAATATTGCAATTTTGTTTTTATTGCAACGTATAAAAATGTATGCTTTATGTATACCTTGACTTCACATATCACACCTTATGCACTTGTGAAATTTTTCTTATAAATTTGAGCTCAATCAAATTTAACAGAATAAAGAAAAGTAATATTTTTTGATAAAATTATGCCTGGAGCGCTACATGCAAAAAAAATTAATTTTTATTAAAAATATTTTATATAATTCAAAAAAGGGAATAGAATTGAGTATAATGCATTTTATATTTTTTTAATGAAAAAAATTAATGAAAAAAATTAGACAAACATTTACACTTCAACCAATTATCAATTAAATTGTAAGATTGTAAAATTATTTCTTTTTTCTTTTTGTTTTATAGTATCCAGTTTCCTCATACTCGACAGGAAAATCTACCGTAAGTATATTTTACACTTTATAATAACAATTTTTCTAAAAATTTTTAGGTTTTCTTTAAGAACAAATTAAAAGTGAAAATTTTAGGAACAAATTAGATTTTTTTTTTTTATAAAATGATAATAACAAGATTTCTTTTAGAATAAACCGAAAACCGAAGATTATATCTCGACGAACAAATAATTTTAACTAGCGATAATTATTGTGAAAAAAAAAATTAAAAAAAAACGGCAATTATATTTTAATTAGAAATACAAATAATTCTTGTTTTTTTCTAAATTCTATGTGAAAAAGCAATAAAGATCCCATTTATAGCTAAATAAAGTTGGGTCAAACCAACGGCAAGTATCATAGCACTTTTTCGTCCAATAAATGAAAATATTGCTTTTAAAAACAATCTATGTATGCCTACTACACTATTAAAATTATTTTCATTCATATACGAAACTACTTCTAGGATTGCATATATTTAGGATGAACGATTTATGCAATCTTTGAAATAAAGTAAAAATTAATTCAATGAGGTGTTAACATAATGCTCGATTTTAAGAGTTAATTTTGTGAGTTAAGAAAAATAATTATATTTTTTAATGTCATGGAATTCACCGTTAGCTTCTTGAGTTTATAGAAACTTGAAAAAGCTTACGATTTCGGGAAATATAAGGCGTAAAAAATTCAAATTTTATAAATTTCGAGAGGCGATAACTTGAGAGGGGATAGAGATGGAAAAACATTTTTTTCTAACAAAATGAACTATTTATTAGTTTATAAAAGTTGCTGAAATTTCAGAACCTTACAATTTGTGGTCTAGAGGAAAAACGACATCAAATATTCGCAAAAAATGTATTTTAGATAACGGTAAATTTGAACGGCCATTTTGTTTTTTTAAAGTTCAAGTATAGTATGCCGCGGTAGAATAAGCTAACCACTATATTTCTGTGTTTGCAAAGTTTAAAAAATGCTTATGTTTTCACTTGAATCAAAAATGCTCATCCTTATGGTTTTAGGAGAGTATAATTTTTTGAAGGGGGCAGATAGGTAAAAATTTTGTTCTACGGTAATAAATTTCTAGTAAAAATCTATGTACATATGAAATTTCAGCTTTCTATCTTAAAGGGTGTATAGGCTCTGTAAACATGTTCACGGACGAACGGACGAACAGAGTGAAACTAATAAGCACTGTTTTATAAAAAATTTTTAGAAAAGTCCTAAAACTAAAAAAAAAAATTGACTATTTCATTATACGAAAAATCTCACCTGAAACTAAAAATAAACATTTAGCTTAGCTATACCAAAAAAATGTTATGGAATAAAAAACAAAAAATCAAATACGCCAACATTTTTATAAAAAATAATTTTAGCATATGGCACATGTGTTCATTTCATCTCTTGACATAAAGGCTAAAATGTCTTTATATTTACGAATTTAAAAAAAAAAGAGAAAACTCATATGTACAACGTTACATAATTATACCAATACTTATAAACATATGTATAAAATGAGACATTTATATACATACTACTAGAATACTACTAGAATGTATGTGTACATGTTACTGTTTATATTCTTTATATGTGTGTACATGGTATTCAACAAGTCGCTTTCTATTTCAGTTACATTCAGATTTTTTGACAAAAATATTGGAAAATTTTCAAACTGTTTTTTTTTTTTTTTTTTTGTGGCTAAAATACCTATGGGAACGTATGTAGGAATATCGGAATGCGTTCAAATCATTTACATTCTTGACATGTCAGGGATATTGTGCGATTTTATTTTGGTTTGTAGCAAAGTTATGCACATATTTGGCAGATCAGGTGTAATGTCCCGTATGGAACTCTTATAAAAATAAATAATAACGCAGGGAAATTTTTATATTTGATCAGAATGACAACAAAATTAGACTTTAATTGTTGAAATTAAATTCTTTATAATTTTAGAAATAATTTTAGTACCTATAGATATTTAAAAAAAATTTTTATTATTTGCCATAAGTCATTGATCTTAGCTTTTACGAAAAAAAGGAAATCTAATGAACACATTCTTATAAAACCATAAAAATTAAAAATAATTACTTTTTATTTGTCTTTCTTAACCTTTTATACTTACATATGAATAATATGTATGTACATATATAAAAATTTCACTTAATCTTCATAAAGTGAAATAGAAAAGTGAAAAAAAAGGAAACGCAACATATTTCTTCAAAATTAATAAATTGGCAGAGTTGGCCGTGTTTGTGATACTCGAATGAAAGAATAATTCTACTGTAATTGCTACACTGTTTCAGACAACCTTGCTTTTTTTATATGTATAGTGCTTTTACTGAAATCCCCATGTTACCATATTTGTTTATACAAAATTTCAGTACTTTACCTTAAGTAGTTTCTTAGATATATGTCCTCTTCTCCACACGAACTATTTTTTCCAAAAAACTGCCAAAGAAATACTCGCCGAGAGCTTCAACATTATATCTGTACCCCGCTGTAGAAAGATGAAGTAAGTAAGAATAGATGAAGAAATTATCATTTAACCCTCAGATTTATTCATATGAACGGGTATTGACACAATCAACTTTAATATTCTTTGTTCAAGATTAAACTGTATTCGTTTGCCAAAAGTTTGTTTCTATCAAATTTTGAATTAAACAGAGAGAAAAAAAAAATTGTTATTATAAAAGAGGAAATTAAAATAGTTGGTTTGCAAAAACTTTATATAAGACCCAAAAAGAAATACCTTCAAATATGTTTTCGGAAATAAAATGAAATTTTATCCTACTTTGAACATAAAATACTTTAATTATTTATAAACGCATCGTATAACTTTAAATATTTCAGGTATATACTGCTTCAAGTTACCCACTCTCATCCTACACAAGCAGAGTAATTCCCTATTATAGCAGCAGAGTTTATACATCTCCAGTTCGAGTAATTACAACACCTATCAGCACATATTCATCACGTGTTTATAGATCTCCATCACCGGTAAGAACAATTACAACAACACGTATTGTCAGATCACCATCCCCTGTTCGTGTAATATCAACACCAATCACATACACCCGTGTGATCAGCTCTCCAGTTCGTGTTATTTCTTCACCAATTCGTTATTTTTCATATCCAACATACAGGCCATATATTGCCAGTCCATACATTGACACAGAAATTTCACCTCGTATTAGTTTGAGAACAACTCCAGCAACACTTGCTCGTGAATATGACAGAATATTGAATAAAGTAAGACCACGCTATGGTTATCGTCCTCTTGATGAATACTTAAATTCAGAAGCATTTATTGTAAGTACAGAATCTTCCAAAATATTGGAAGATATTCAACTATAAAAAAACTAAGCGCTTTACCATAAATATTTTCGAAATGCACAATCATTTTATATTTTTAATTACAATTAAATTTAAAAAAAAATACCCGATAATCGTCAAATATATTTAAAATAGCATATATAAAAAAAAAACTAAAAATACGACTAAAAGCGCTTAATCTTCATGAGCATATTTGAAATGATAATATCTAACATTTTATACTAAAAATAAATGAGTTAACAAGCATTTTATAACAAGATCATAGGAAATTTATAATTTTGATTAAATTGATATAATAGAAGCACAAGTTTTCAGTCTGCACAATGCATATATTGGTATTTTAAAAGTTTTTAAACGGAGTCAGTTGGATTTACCCCTGATTAATAGTAAAGATAACAAACAAACCGGAATTTCTCATTTTTCAAACTCTATTAATAGTTTTCCAGGTAATTAATCTTGATTATGAGGCCCATATCATTAAAAATTATTACACTTTAATTAAGTAAATATTTTAAAATAAAAACCTTTAGAAATCAGACTAGCTTCCTTCTAGTTTTCTCGGCCTCAAAGCCAATTCATTTTTCTATTATAAATATTTAGTCCAAGATATCTTTGATTGAAGCTAGGGGCCTGTATAAATATCTACTGCATTTAAATGATGATAAATATCTACTGCATTAAAACGGTGTAATATCAATTTAGAACAAGATATTTTTAAAATCGAATTAAATTATGTTTGTACGAGAACTACTGTAGCTAATGGTTTTAACTGGATGAGTCAAATTTGCTATTCAAAAGTTATTGACATGTTATTGTAATAATATAAAAATAGCATTCTAATTTGTCTTAGAAAACAGTCTCCCATTTACAGACTAAAAAACCACAACCATCTGTTATTGTGAGTAATCCACTCCTACCCAATAAATATTAAGCCTCTATTAAAATTTTTCCAAATACAATTCTTTATTTCTTCTCCGATATATGTATGTGTAACACAATTAACAATTAATGGCAACATTACTTTGTTATTAACCAGTATTTTAAAGTTACTTGGATTAAGATTGTAAGTCTTCAATTGTAATTTTTTTCAGCAAATTTTATAAGAATTTTTTAACAATAATTTTTTAACATGATCATCAATATTTACAGCTTTTAATAAACAACCAATCTTAACAGCTCATAATTTATTTCTCATCAAGTTCTACACTATTTGCAATTACAATTCTTTGTATAATTTTCTATAATATATCTTTGTCTCACCATTAATCTTTGTTGTAATACAAATACCAAAATTGTATATTTTATAACATATACTCGTATACGAGTACATAAATAATATTAATTTATTTTTAATTTTTGAAATTCAATTAGAATTTCGATTCAGAAACAAGAAGAATTCGAAATGATGCACACTCTGTATTGAGAGAAATTCATAGTAAAGTACCACACCGTGCTAGAAGTATAACACCATACTACACCATAGAGTAAGAAAAATAAATTTTCTATTTTCATATAGATAAGTATTTAATTTAAAAAAAAAAATAATTTTTATGAAATTTTAGTGATGCTCCAAATAGTTTGAGCGGTCTTAAATCTTATGTATCAAGAATTACTGATCCAACAAGACATATCATCAGAGAAGTTAGATCAATGTCATTGATTCCTGAATCACCAAGGAAATATATGGGTAAGTTAGAGCAAATAATAAAATAATTTTTAACTATAATAAAATATGTATTATAATACATATACTATGTATTACATTATATATTTCTTATATATGTTATAACTGTATATCAATTTATATATTAATTATATTAAGATATCGAAATTTTTTATTTAAAATTAATGAATTAAATAAATTCTAAATGAAAAAAAAAATCTATTTAAAAAAATATATATGTAAAAAATATATGTAAAAATATAAGGTCCAAGTCATTTGGCTGCTATCCGAATTTGTGATGGCGTACCATATACAAGAAGAAATCCATTCTATGATGCCGATCAAGTAAGAAATGATATAAATCTATTATCATATTATTTAAAAAATCGACGTGCTGCTAACGAGAAACAAATTAAATCTGAAGATAAAGGTAAGGTTTAATTATCTCGTTAAGAACCATCTTTCATTTTGCAAAATAAGTAAAAATCGCCAAAAAAAAAAAATTATCACAATGCTTATAATTGCAAAATTTATTTGCATTACTTCGCGTAATATATTTGATATATATACAAAATGAAACATTTGATTTACGTTGTCTAAGTTTCATTGTATAAAAATATAAAAAAAATATTTTCAATATTACTTTATCGTGTTCTTGTTATTTTAATTTTCATTTATAAAATTTATTTTCTACAATATTACAAAATGAAAACTGTTATGATTTTTTTTTTGTTTAAAAGTTTTTCTATATTACCTTTTATATATATATTATAATTCTTTTGTATGCCAAATTTTAATTTTGAAAGCAAATTAATATACACAAAAACATTTCATTATATAAGGCATTGAATGTATAATGGGTGCGTATAATGTAAATAACTATATAGCTGCCATTTTATAAAATATTAATTTATTGCTGTTTTTTTTTGTGGTATAATATTATTTTTAATATAAAAAAAAACTGGAATTTTGCCTGCTTATATTTTGAATTGTTTATAATATACATATATAGAATTTGTTTAATATAAAATATTTTTGTAAGGCACTGTCATAAATTTATGCTTTAGCATTTTCTTATTTTATATATTTGCATATTATGTAAATTTGTAATGGCAATATTACTGTTGTACATTATTAGACAAAAATATTTATAAAATTTAAATAGTTACAATGTAAACACTCAAAAATTGTGATTTCTGTTATTTTTTTTATTAACATATTTTTATAAGTATGTCAAAAATGACATTTTCTCTAAATTAAAATTATTTGACCAAAATTAAATGAATTCCTTACAGTTTTGGAAAAATTTTTCCAATTTCTTTCATAATGCTTCCTTATAAAATAATCTAAAGCTCAAGAAATTAACTTACTGGCAGTAATAGTTGGATACGTTTAATAAATGTATTTTATTATTTATAGGTCAGTTTTCCAGTTTGAAAATTTTTACTATTTCTATATTTAAAATAAATATGAATGACAATAAATGTTAAATGCTCTTCGACAAAATCTCAGTAGTTACAACTTAAATATATGATCAAACTTAATATATGCGTATAAGCAATTGTACTAAAATTAAAATATAATTATGGCTAGAATTTGTTAACTTTATCAAAATGTGCTATGTAATTTTGTGATCAAATTTTAAATGTGAATTTCATAATTTCTTTGAAAAAATAAAACGGAAATAGCCAATTTTCTTTTATAAAGTTAAAAGTTTGCATGGAAACTTTGTTCATAATTTTATATATAGATACAATAGTGATAAAACTAATTTGATAGTACAAGAATTCTATCAAAGTAGACAATTTTAAATTCTCAATTCACATTTTCAATATTCATTTTTCATTTTTATAAAAAAAATTTGCAATATGACCAAAAATACAAAAAAAAAAAAATTTATGAAATTAGTTTTGTAGACAAAATTAGACTAAATTTCGTTTTCAGTTACCATATACATTTTATTATGTATGTATTCGTATGTATGTACTATATAAAAATACACATATTAAAATAGTATATTGTTCTGCTCGGAGGACTTTAATATAAAGATTTATTATTTAATTATTGTCAGTGAATTAATTTAATGTCTGTGCAACGATTAAAACTCAATCAAATATGTACCAAATAGCTATTTATTTATTTTCAAAAACAATATCTACACGAACTGGACGAACAGATAGCAGCAATGTGACTTACCGAAAAACTACATTATTCAACTGTTGAAATTTTTTATTGCATATATTTAGGGGATAAAAACTAAAGTGTTTTTCTTGTCTTTACTATAAGTGAGCAAAATCTTTTCATTGAAACAGTCCATTTATGGGAACGTCTCGTGTTCTCTCTCTATTACAAAGTATACAAGTTATTTATTTTGAAAATTTACAATTTTATTGAAAAAAAAGCAACCCGGACATTATTTTGCTGCGAGTTAATCTGATTTTCATTATTATTGGAATCCTTCTTTTTTGATGGGAATTTCAATCACTTTTTTTGAAACTGAATTTTCACAGGATATTCGAGAAATAATTGCAAATCTTTTTAATGATCACATTTGAACATTTATTTTTGTTAGACCTTTGTTATTAACGTTTTCAAAATTTGAATCGTACCTTAGGTACCGTCCTATGCATATAATATGTAGCTTATTTGATAATATATGACTTTACGTTCTAAATTTTTAATATAACGCTTCTTATATTGCTTTTTATGTATTAAACAATATTTTATTTTTAAATGCACTCTATTTACATACTTTTAAGTATGCTGTCTTAACACACACTCTGTATTATCTATCATATTGTACTACTTTTTTTTAATAATTTCACCGCTTTAATATTTAAGAAAGCTAACTACAAATGAGTTTACGTTTAAAAAAATATAAGCATAGTAAACAAAAATTTAATATTTTCCAAAAGAAAATCAAAACTACTTTTATTTTAAAAATTTATTATTCGATGTTAAAAACTATAATATATTTGTAAGATGTGTATACACAAGGTGATTCGGTGCCTACATTAAATTTTAGATTGGTTAGTAATCCAAAAGTACATAAAATACAATACTTTACTAGCCCTTTGAAAACTGTTTCTTTAAAACTTCCATCTTTTTCGGAATGGAAGCTATAAGCAAAAAAACTTGGGTAGTCCCTGTTTTTCGGGTACCGTTGAGATTTAACAGCTAATTCTAAACCAAAATTTTACTCATTTTTGACGCTCTAATTGATTGTTTATATTAAGGCTGGATCACCCTGTATCATTAATTTATGTTATATTAATTATAGAAAATTCAAAAATATACCTTGGTATCTATAAATTCGGCAAAAATATACAAAAATACTTGATTGATATGAATGAAGACTTACAGCTTCAAAAAAAAAAAAAAACAAATGGAAACATTGGTTATTTGAAAAAATTAAATTTAAAAAGTTGTAATCATTTGAAATATAGGGTGCATAATGTCTCTAAAAGCTGTTAACTTATTAATATTCAAAGACTTTTAAATTAATTAATATTTCAAATTTCAATTTTTACGCTATTTTTTTTTTTTATTTCATACGCTAAAATTGTTGTAAGAATAAAGTAAAAAATATTAACTAATTAAATTAGCAAAATAATTAAATTTTAAACTTATTACAGAATTCAAATATTTCGAATATTTTATTAAATTTAAAGACACGTTAGGCTAACAATTCATAATCAATGGAGAAGAAATCTCATTTTTAATTATTAAAGTAAATTATTTTCTGAAAACAATTTTTTTCACCTAAATATAATTGTGATGTCGATTGTGTTAAATAATGTCAAATAAAATCAAGAATTAAATCAAAATTATAATATATAACAAATAAAATATTCTGTATATATGTACATATAATTGTTTATTTCACTTCATAAATCGAATTCACAAATTTTGTCAAAACCATGCCTTTATACAAAAATATTATTCATATAAGAAATTGTACAAAATTATTTAAGTCGATTTCAAATTTCATTGCATTTAATTGTAAATATTATCCACATTCTTTAAAAACTTAAAAAAATAAAAACATTTTCATTTAATAATTTAAATAAAATATTATTCACACTTCAACATAAAATGCAGCATACAATTTTAAAATTCAAAAAATTTTGTTCTTTATTGTTAATTATAAAAAATTTTAAATCGAATTACTTTTCGATACACTCTGAATCGATATCCTAAACACAATGACAAAGCATTTCAAACTACAAAATTTGACAACTACAAATAAAAATGTAGCTTCTGGCAAGCGGCAACTTCAAACTGTCTGTCATTATTTTAATGATTTTGAAAATACAAATTTTTTTTTGTTTAAAAATTTTTAATTAGAATAGAAAATGTTTGTTAATGAAAAACTTATTGAAAATGTTGGGTAATATAAATTTTTATACGATTTATAAGGGATGCTAATTATAAAATTATTTTAAAAAGGGAGGAGACTCTTACAATATTATCGTAGAATATTTGAACGAAAATGGTAAGTGATAAATTTTCTTATAATTTTCTATTGCTATGCCATTATCGCACTTTATGAAGCCTTGAAAAGCTCAAAATTTTTGTAATTGTCAAATTTTGGAATGCAAATTCGAATGTGTTTAGTGCAAAAAATAAGTAAATCAAATAATGCATGTAATTTAGTTTCATTTTCAATATAAAAGCATCTTTAGATCTTGCATACAATGTACTTTAATTTCACTAAAAATACTTCATAAAATTTTATATGTACTAAGTAGATAGTGTTTCAGAAGAATTTTATTCTTTTATTCAAGCACTTTTAAACTTTGTATTTGTAAGTACATAAATTTTTAATCAAAATTTATAATTTAAAGTATTACCTAAGTATATAAAATTTACATTTCTTTAATATACAAAATTGTTTTCTTATGAACAGGGTTTTTCCGTTCTAATTGTACTTTTGTTTGAAAATATATTAAGGGGCTTCTATTAATTTTCAAAAAAATTGTTTTGCATAAATATATTTTTATGATAATTTTGTGAAAACTAGT